TCTCAGAATTTCAGGGGGATCTGAGGAAACCAGAAAAGCTACTGCCCATCTGCTGAGCAAAAGTGCATTTCCAGTGGACTTGGCTACAGTGGCCTTTCATGATGCCGATCCAGTTGGGGTGCCCAAGTTCAAGAACCAAACTGTGTGCCTACACGTAGTTTGCATCTGCTTGAAATGCCTATGTGGGTTTTATGTATGAGTGGATATTCTGTCTCTAACAATAAGATGATAAACCCCTGCAGGACGTGGAGAGAAAAAGATCAATAAGACAAGATCCTTGACTTATTAGAGCAAACAGACAAGCGAAGAGAATACTGCAAAGTGATGTGAAAAGTGCTGTGAGAGAGAGGAGCAGAGTGTAGCGCTCTTGGTGCTTGGCTCTGCGATATCACGCTGCTCCTCAGGACCAGCCTAATGCGCCCGTGAGAGGCCCATCACCTTCACTGGTCATTGGTCTAAAATGGACATAGGAGCCAATCTTGGTCACTGAGACATGGAAAGAAGTGCAAAGTTTTCTCACCCCTAAAAAGAAGACAAAAAAGAGATGTTTCCACTCTTCCTCTGGACTTTCAGGTCAACCACCTACCCGGTGGGCTTACTATAAAGCACCAGGCGAAAGGAAGCAGGTGAAAAGGAAGGCGTGGAAAGAAGAAAAAGCTAGATGTCGGCGTAGGGGGACTTAAAACTGCCATAGGAGGAAGGAGTAATCATTCTCAGAGGCAGGAGCTCAGCCTCTTCAAAGAGACCGGCTTTGTCTGATAACCATTTGCAGAAATCTGCCCTTATCCCTGCTCTCTGCTAAGTCACAGGGCAAGGACCACGTCTGAACAAGGCCCCAGGCACGGTGCCTTGTGCAGCCCTATGGCAGGGCTAAGGAAAGGTTTAAGAGCAAAAACTCCAGTAAGTCTTTTTCAAGGAGTGAGACTGGATATTCGATGGTGAGAAAAACAAAATGACGAGAAAGACAGACTTTGGGGGAACTAGGGCTCTTCTAGGGCATCCCCTCCCCTCAGAGTCTTCATCCCTCAAACCTGCTTTCTCCTACAGAAGCCTACTGCCTCCCGCCACAGCTCGAGAACCACATCTTCCCCACACCATGTCTCTCACTTTAGCAGTAATTCTCCACGCTGGCCCTCAGGACCCCGTGCTGCCTCCATGGATAGTGTCATGTTCCTAACCCTCAATGTGAACCAAAATCACTAGGAGATTTTTAACTTTTTAAACTACTCAGACCCAGGTCCCACTTCCAGAGTGACTGAATCTAGTATGGAGCCAGGGCTGAGAACCAGGATATTACTATGTCACAGACGGCAGTCGGGCACTAAGTATGGAGAATTGTTGAGGAAGGCCTGTAGCTACAAACAAAACTCTACCTGCATTCCATGTCCGGAGAACTTATAGAATTGGGCTGAGATGCCATGAAGGACCCAGCAGGCAAAGAGAGTTTTGCCAGAACACAGTAGTGACTGTGGGAAAAATAAAACCCTTTCATGTTTATACTGTAACACAAGGAAAGAGTCTCACAAAGCTGGTTACCCATGTTAATGTTTGCACTCCTTGACTGTGAAGTGTCACCTGTCCTAAGTAACACATCTATGTTTCCAAGGAGATGTTTATGGAGGCAAAGGTGGAGCAGGGCGGGGGTGTGAGGTGGCTGCAGTGTTAGAGGGTAATGTTACCTTCAAGAGCAGAATACAGCAGGGAGGGTGTAGCTCAGTGGTCAGAGCACATGCTTAGCATGCACAAGGTCTTGGGTTCAATCCCCAGTACTTGCATTACAATAACAAAATAAAGAAACCTAATTACTCCCCCCCAAAAAAGGAAAAAAACAAAGAGCCAGCTATGACTCAAGATAATGGCTCAATAAATAATTCAAAACATTCCTCAACTCCCCAAATCCTGTCCCCTATGTGAGATTCTTCTGATTGTCAACAAACTGGTTGGCTGGGGGCGGGGCTGATGATCATTCTCATAGTTATGTGAGTTAAGTGCAAGACACTACAAAACAACCAAACAGGGGAAGGGTGTATGTAGCTCAGTGCTAGAGTGCGTGCTTAGTATGCATGAGGTCCTGGGTTCAATCCCCGTGTATCTCCATAAAAAAATAAATAACCAAATAAAAAAGTGAGTGTGAATAGAGAGCCTGTGGGACTCTGGTGAGAGTTCTGAGTTAAACTCCTGCCAGATTTTTCCTCCTTTCTTGAAGGAAATGAGACCCTGGGGGAAGTTCCAGGATGTCACAGACGCAGGAACAGTACTCCACAACTCCACCCTGGAAAGACTGTCACAAAGTCGCCTCACTTTACCTACTGTAGTGACGACAACCAAGAGATCACAACAGATAAGCCATATGTCAAGACTCAGAGCCACAGTCACGTGGTGTGCCTGCAGTTGGCTACACAGCCACCACCTTTCCCAGCGGCCACTGTTCCAAGGTCAGCAGTCAGGGAAGGACTCCAAGGGGAGACTGTGGCTTCAGAATCGGTTCCTTCTCCTGAGGTCACTGTGATCTGGGGTGTTTGTGAAGGTCCACCCCCTCCCCCCTCCATCTTCTTTCCCGTGGGTCTGAAAAGTAGTGCAGAAATTCTCTGCATTCCTGTCATTCCCTAAGGGCTGAGACAGCTCTCTGAACATTCTTGCCCATAGGCACCTGAGGAACTGGGCCATAGTTCTGCTGGGGGAAGGCAGAACGAAGTTAAGTGCACAGCGAGGCCAGAGCGTTTGGGAGAATGACCTAAAAACACACAAGAAAGGCAGAGGCAAGAGAGGGAGCTTGGTCTGGAGGAGACGTTTGCAACACCTGGTTCCAACCAGCTGGTATTTTTTTTTTAGAAGTTCAAGAGATTTATTGAGATAACACCTATGAAAGATAAAGGGGAGAAGGAAAAGGAGGGGCAGGGAAAGCCTTCAGACCCAATGCTAAAAAGGGGCCTAGGAAAGGAGATGTGGCAGATCAAAGCACTGGGTTTCAGACTGTCTTAGAATTTTGAGAAATACTCAACCAGTCCAACAATTTGCTCCATCGCATAAATTCCTTGGAAGGGAATGTGGGCCAAGGGGAGCTGATGTAAAGCTCTGGAGGCTGGAAAGGAACCCAGAGCCTGAGTACAAACCCACAGTCAAGGTTTGTAGCCAGTACCACTCGCTGGAACCTTGGGGAAAAATGTTCTCACTGAGGCCCTGAGCAGACCTCAGCAGCCCTGTCACTGGAGCCTCAGAGAGGAGCTCCACTGGCAAGAATCCTCTCCCTTTCCTGTCTCTCTCCCTCTCCCTCCCTCCCTGCCTCCTTTCTCTCTCCTACACACCACCTGGGAGTGGACTAGGGTACATTTTCCGGGGGATGGGGGGACACCTGCAGTTTATTCGTCTATGCCTCAGACAGAACACTAGAGGGCAGTGATGCCACCAATCCTGCACAGGCTCCAGGTTTCCTCCCGAGCAGGGCTCAGGCCGGCCAGACGCACATCCTGTGACAGGATGTTTCTGAACTTTTCCTTCAGTTCTCATGGTAAATAAACAAGCTCGGGGGGGTGGATCTATCCAGATGCACATCGCAACGCAGCACGGACAGCCCGGGCCAAAGTTTCTGGCCTGTCTGCAACCATCTCACTCACTCGTGTAGCCCAGAAGCTGGAGCTTAAGCTTGCATTGTTGTCCCTCTGAATTTCTGCCTGAATTTTGGAACTTCTCTCATATGATCTTCTCTGCAAGAGCAAAAGGAACTTTTCAGAAGAATGAGCCAGAGTTAAACAATCATGCACTGCCTTTTTGTACAAAACTCTGTTTCATTTCCACTGACAAGTTACGAGTGTTTGGCTTGCTCAGAAGCAGGGGTGCCCAACTGGTCAGAGCTCTGAGCAGACGGGTCATGTGAGCAAATGTAGGGACCAAGAGCCACATGTTCCTCCCCGCTGGAGGCACTGGGCTTGTGAACGGGCCCAGTAGACTTGGTTCTGGTGAGTGTGCCAAGGAAAGCAAAGTTGCCAGAAACTCTAGGCTTTTTTTTTTTATTTTTTTTTGGGCAGAATTCCCTCCTGTGAGTTTTTTTTTTTTTTTTTTTTTGGGCAGAATTCCCTCCTGTTGAGTTCAGTGCTCCCAAGGCACAGGGGGCAGGCGAGGGTCTGACTTCTTTGAGATCAGTATTTGAAGAAGCCAAACAAACTAACCTCCTGACGGAAGATGTAAGTGAAGTGACGGGTCAGGGAGTGGGAAAGAACTAGGAGAAGGCACGGATCTCGGTGCCCCAAACGGGCTGTACTCCTTCCAACAACCCATACCTCCCGGTACCCAGCTCATCTGCTTTATCAGCAGAGGCAGATAAAGTGAGGGAAACATTTGCAGCCAGAGGGATTTCTGGAAT